CTATACTGAGTTACATCCTGTTGACAAATGGTGGAGAATCGCAGAGTTATGAAGAAACTTTGCAAGATGAGAATTCGAGCAAGTGGGAATCAGACATAGGAACTGACAGAACTTTCATCTGGGAAGAAAGCTCTACACAACAAGTGGGTATACCGTGTGAAGACTGAGCATGATGGTAGTAAAAGGTATAAGACAAGGCTAGTTGTAAAAGACTTTCAATAAAAGAAGGGCATTGACTACTCTGAGATCTTCTCTCCTATAGTGAAGATCATAACCATCAGGCTAGTGCTGGCAATTGTTGCTACTGAAGATTTGCATCTTGAGCAGTTAGATGTGAAGATGTCATTCCTTCATGGTGACTTAGAAGAAGACATTTACATGATTTAGCCAGAAGGGTTCATTGTTCAGAGATAAGAGAATCTAGTCTGCAAACTGAGAAAGAGCTTGTATGGCCTAAAACAATCTCTTAGACAGTGGTACAAAAAATTTGACAGTTTTATGCGTAATTCAGGGTACATCAGGTGTCAAGAAGATTGTTGTTGTTATGTCAGGCAATTTGAAAATTCTTACATTATCTTGTTGTTGTATGTGGATGATATGTTCATTGCAGGGTCCAACATTGAGGAGATTAACAATCTAAAGAAACATTTGTCAAAACAGTTTGCAATGAAAGATTTGAGTACTGCAAAACAAATCCTTGGTATGAGAATCATCAGAGACAAAGTCAAGGGCACATTAAAATTAACGCAGACTGAGTATGTGTATGTGAAAAAGGTACTTAGTATATTCAACATGGACCAAGCCAAACTAGTTGGCACACCGCTAGGTAGTCATTTCAGACTCAGCAAAAATCAATCACCCAAGACAGAGGAGGAACATGACTACATGAGTAAGATTCCTTATGCTTCAGCTATTGATTCACTCATGTATGCTATGGTCTGCACAAGACCGGACATTGCGCATGCAGTGGGAGTTGTGAGTAGATACATGAGCAATTCAGGAAGACAACATTAGGAGGCTGTGAAGTGGATTATGAGGACCTGAAAGGTTCCTCAGAAATATGTTTGTTGATGCCGACTTGGGTGGAGACACTGATAATAGAAAGAGCACCACCGATTTTGTTTACACCTTGGGTGGTACTGCCGTGTCTTGGGGTTCCAAGTTGCAGAAGACAGTATCTCTTTCTACTACAGAGGCCGAGTATGTTGCAGTGGCAAAAGCTTCAAAGGAGATGATTTGGTTACAGAGTTTCTTGGAGGAACTAGGTAAAAAGAAACAGAAGGAACTCTTTACAGTAATAGTCAGAGTGTCATATTCCTTATCAAGAATCTAGCATTTCATTCTAGGACGAAGCAAATTCAGATTAGGTATCATTTTATACGGTCCTTACTTGATGATGGTCAGTTGATACTTGAGAAAATATGTGGAACTAAGAACCCGACAGACATGTTGACTAAAAGTGTTACTATTGAGAAGCTGAAACTGTGTGCAATTTCAGTTGGTCTTTTGGCTTGAGGACAGGAGGATAAGTTGCAGGGATGAACTGTTCTTGGAGGTATGCGGTTTGATGTTGGTAATTGAACTAGTCTCCAAGTGGGAGATTTGTTGGGCTTCTTTTGTGGAGTCTAGTTTGTGTGCGATCCGGATGTTGACCCGACCCGAATAATGTTGTGTGATTTTTTAATGAAAATTTTTTGAGACTTAGTCCATAGAGCATAGGCTTAGGCCTGTTTTGTAGCCTTGTGCGCAGGACATATATAAACTGATTATTCGGTAATTAGGGTTCGTGGATTGATTTTGTACGACTGCCGCCCTCTCTGTATTCGTTCTTGAAAATAGTGGAACCCCTACAGCTTTGTAGACTTAGGTAAATTGCCGAACCACGTAAATTCTGTGTTGTGTGATTGTCTGGATTGCATTCATATTATTCTTTGATTTAATTTCACTTTATTGTCATCATTTTATTTCATAACATTCTTATAGTCAAAAATATATTGGGTATGAAATGACCTTATCAGATAAATGATAAGAATAACTCCAATTGAGAATAAGTTAAGAGAAAACAGATTAAGATAGATTGGTCATGTTTAACGAAGGCCGATAAAAACATCTATTCGAAAAAGTGAGATAATATCTCTTAATGGTATTAGACGTAGGGATACACTTGAATTAACATTGAACAAAATAATAAAAAAATATATGAAAATATATAACTTAAATAAGCGTAATAGTACATGATCGAAATGAATGACAAATACAGACTCATATAACTGACCCCTAATGATTGGAACATAAGACTTGATTTGGTTTGGCTGACCCCAAATGATTGGAAGATAAGTTTTGGTTTGATTTGGCTAGTCCAATATGTATCAATAATATGTAGCTTACAATTCAAATTTTAAAAGATAAATAAAATGATTTTTTTTTTTTTGTAATTTAGATCGCTTTAAATTTTATTTTAAAGTTAATCTAACGGCTAATATTAGCACCCTAAATTTAATAGAAAAAATAGGACTATAAATGTGTATTTCGAGTGACTTTTTAAAAGTACCTCTATGAATTATTTCTCATAAGTATTTAAAAAAAAAATAGTGTTTGAAACCGCCTCACCATTACCGCTATCATCGCCGCCACCACTACCACCACCGTCGCTGCCACCACCGCCGCCACCACCACCACTGTCGTCGCCGTTACCACAACCGTCATTGCCACCCCACCACCACCATCACCGTCGTCGCCGCCACCACTACTGTCGCCGCTATCACCACTATCACCGCCACCACCGCCATCACCACTATCGTCGTTGCCGCCACAGTCATTACCATCCACCACAACTATCATCATCTCCTACCACCACCACCTCTCACCCTCACTATAACCGATACTTAAATTCATTTATCTCTCATTTATGTTTGTGATTTGATTTTAGATATGAATACAAATATGTTTATTGTTTACTATTTTTTATTACTCTGTGCCGTCAGGTACAATCAATAACTAATTTATCAATAAAAGAACCATAAGAACCACAACCATAGATATTTTATGGCCACACCATCGTCTACAACTATATCTACTTTCTAATGCTAGAGAACTGTAGCATCACGGGGATCCGTCTAAAAGTCTGCAAGTATGGGAATTGCTTTGATGCCAAACTATTTTGAAACAATACTAGAATGAGAGAAGTCCCACAAACAGTGGGGCCAAATGAGTATGATGCAATGAGTTCACGGGTTGAGTGCGAAGATGAGGTAATAGAAAGAGTTTTCTACATGGGAAGGGAGAAGACAGCCTTTTTAGTTCAATAGCAGAAAGAAAAGATAAGTGGGTTAGATTTCCATAAGAGACAAAAATGGGCAAACTTCGTCAAAATCTTGTGACGGTGAATCAAGCAAAAAGCCGCAGAACAGGGAAATGAAGACCAAGGAAATGGTGAAACCAGCGTAGTATCAACATTGGATAAGCCTCCCCATCCAAGCTGCGAGCGGTCTGGTGGCTGAAAGCCAAGTAAGACACATTATAGGCTTAAAGGACTTGCTCAAAACTTAAAAAAAATTGAATTTACAACATGAAAGACAACTTGAATGAAGAATACAATTGAGCATTCACCAAACTAGACCTCAGCTAACTTGCTGGTGAAGGATGCTTAAAGGCCTTCATCTACCACACAAAACAAAGGTCATATCATAAAATAGAATCATAAGGCAACATTCAAAAGAACTAGGACACCAACAAATATGTAATTTAGTGTTGCACATATACCCACATTTACGTGCTAAAGGTCATATTTAGCCAAGTGCAAAAACATGGCGCCGTGTTCAGGCAACACCCAAAATTTCTTATAAACCACTTTGCATTGACTTGAGTTCCACTCCATTCACAGGGTTGATGGATCACTAAAGAGACAGGATCTTTTCCCCTGAAAGTAACTAAATAGATTGAGCTTAGTTTTACTAATGAACATAGAAAAAAAAACTTCCAAATAAGATCTCTCCAAGTTCCAGATTTTCACTGAAGAATAGTAAACAACTGTGCAAAAATTGTACTCCATGTGCAACCCAAGAAGTGGATCATATCTGAACATGAAATATAATTACTCATGGAATCCAGATTATAGTAGAATCAGAGTGTATGGCATGATGTACTATTACAGACACATTGCCATCACAGAACATCCCTCTGATGAATCGAAATCTCAAATGGGTCTCACAAAACACAGCATCAAGGTTCGCCAACTTGTGATGAGGAAGGGGATGTGATCCTAGGTAAATGTGGTGACGACGCATTTCCCCAATTTAGAAGAACGATTCCATTGGTAACAGCACACATGGGGCCTCACCACACAAAAACATATAATAAGAACATTTTTGTTATCGTCCCACCTTGCATTATTGAACAAAAGACTATATGAATGGAGACCACGATCTATTTTACTCTCTAGGAAGTTCTAGATCAAACTAGAATCTATAAGCATGGGACATGTTTAGATACCAAAAGATGTCAAAATAAAATACAAAGAAGACGTAGCCCAACATTAAGCCCTACCTCGTGTGGCACTGTGTCCCAGATAGATTAGGGGAAGGAGAGATTTTTTGTTCAAGAAGAAAAAATAACAATAATGTCTAATACATACTCACTCTATGTTACTCAAATAATGTCATGGACAAGCATAACCTCTAACGACATATTCCGGATCAAAATCAGCTAAACTGTTCACTAAATTAAGATAGTTTAGATTACTCAATAGATGGAAGTAAATTTTTTGTTAGTTTCCTTCTATGAAATGCGTAGAGGAGTAATAAACTGTATTCCATTCAGAAAGTATTGCTCAGTTTTTCCTAGAAAACGAACGAGGATCAATTTCAGAGATAATATAGTGGTCAATATTCCAAAACTGCACACAATCAGGAGAAAAGTTCAGGTATCACCAAATTTAGGAGCAAAGAAAAGAATATTATAATCACAAGACGTAAATATATAATAATCAACAATGATGATTACCCCCATATGAACATATAAATAGGAAAGTTCTTAAAATCCAATAATGTTCTAGGTTGTACAATATTTAACCAAGAAAGTTTAACCGTAAAGCCATATGAACAAATCACTAGCACAATTCTAAATGCTATAGCCAAGAAGAATGATATACTAGGATAAACAGGAATTTCTACTGCAACAGATAAGAACTAGTATTATCGTGTAAGGAGACTCGCTAAACTGATGCTTTCAGCAGGACTAGCCTTGGTAAATCCTTCAAGCATGGGCTTCAATTATTACCTTTTTAGTTAGAGACCAAAATTGCAAGCCTGGACAAAGTCATTCTCATAGTCCACATACTTCGTCCAAAGTGGCCGAAACTGGTTCATGGCAATATCAAGCCACGGTTTCATATTTCCGTTGAAGTGCACAACTGCAGCATTGCCAATCTCATCCATGTTTATGCTTGGATTATAGCCGAGACCCAAAACATGCCAAGACTTGTCCAATGGCTTGGTTGTAGAATAATATGTAATCAGGCCTGGGGGCAATGTTCCCAATTTCCACAAGGTCCGGTTTTCATTCTGCAAAAATATAAGCATCTCTAATTAGAAAGAACACAGAAAACAGCACTGCAAACTTGACAGTAAAGAAGAAACCAATGATAAGAAAATGTGCATAGCATAAAAGACCAAACACACAAATAATTATGAAAATCATCAATAAGAAGTTCAAAGCCTTGGTGCTCGAAGTGCAACAAACATAACATGATGTTTCAATAAGGTACTTATATCTTACAATTAAAGACTTTGTCGGTGCACTGTAACAAAATTTCAGAAGTAATTTCCACATAAGTCTAATCTCACCAGATTCTGCCAGTAGTGGTATTCTTCAGTGCACTTCTCTCTCCTCCAAGCATCCAAGTCAAAGAAGTTCATCCCATAAGCCCACGCGCATGCCTTGGGATTAAATTTGGCTTTGATCAAAGGGTGAGAAAAATTCATGTACTGTGCATACCGATGGAAAGATCCAAAACATGTTTCAACAGCTCCATTCACCTTCCCATCCATGTCTATCTCCCAAAGCCCCGTCAAATCCTTCTGAACAACGACGTCATCATCCAAAAACAAAATCCTATGCAACTTTGGGTACATTTCGGGCAAATAAAACCTCAGATGATTCAATATTGACAAATATTTTGGGTTCCTGAATTTCATATTTGTGGTGTCCTTCGTTGCATTCTCAAGCTTATTCTCAAAGTAAAACTTCTGTAAATTCGCAGACTCAAGCTGTCGGAGCACTGGAACGTATGAAGAATTCAAGAACTTGTAATCCTCCACGGCCTTTACTTCGACGTGAGCTCCATTATAATCCCTCATTTTGAACATAACTTGCATCGCTCCAAGATTCATCTTATCAGTCACAACATGAAACACGTGTTTCCGTGGTTCTTTCGTGTTCTTCACTGCCGAGTTCACCACAACCGATGCCGCAATCACATTATCAGAGAAAATAGCATAGTGATACAACTTCGGATCTTCAAATTCCGGTAGAGTAGGCTTTCCTTCATCCGTATACTTCTCCGGATGTGCAATACGCTCTTCCATCAACCTCATCGTCAAGCAATGCAAGCTCTTGGGAATTGACTTCGCAGCAATCAAGCTTGAAAACGCACCTTGCTTCTTCGCCTTTGTCAACTGTTCATTCACCGCAAAAATCGTATCTTTCAGCTTCTGAATCTTCAATTGGTTATCAAAAGACTCCTTCGCCTCGGCTATCACTTGCCTTGTAACTTTAATTCGTTCTTTAACCTCCTTTTCCAACTGTCTAAGCACAGATTCATCAATTGAGTCCGCATCTGATTCAAACAGAGCACGATACGATGGTCCGGATACCAGATCTGCGTAGTTCCGAGAGAGATCAGCGAAAACCCTAACGAGCTTGGAATTCTCGAGCTTGAGCTTGCGAGCATACGAAGCGTAAGCGAGAGCGAGAGATCGATGATCGTCCGCTTGTTTCCTGATCTGATCAAGCCTAGGCTTCAACGGATCCGATTTCAGAGCCAGTACCGACCTCCGAATCGATCCAACTCCAGACGAATCGTAAGAAAAATTCTAATTCGCACCAAAAACACATTAAATACATATGCAACACTATAAATAAAGAAATGATGACAGATATTAGCAAGAAATGTTGAAATGCTAGTGATTTGGACTTACGAAGTTGTAATCGGGCGGATTGGATGAGGAAGTGAAGAGGAAGGAGAGAGTGACGAAGAGAAAGACGGCAATGGTGAGAGCGGAGGCGAAGAGCTTCAAGGTACAGGCCGGGGTTCGGGCAGCTGCTCCGGCGAAGCCGGTGTTTCGATCAGAGAATGAAGTTCTTGAGCTTCGAAAGCTCGTGTTCGCCATTGTTTCTGAGATGTTACAGTGAGAGACAGAGGATGAGATGCTACAGAGAGCGAGGCTGAGAGACTTTCACCGTTTAGTTGGAGTTGGAGTCCCTGAAAGAAGAAATAGAAACAGTGTGGATGTTGAGTGGGTTGAGTTGAGTGGCAACTGGCAAGTGCAAAGAAAGCTGGGAGTGAACGTCTCCGTTGATGGTGGGGGTTTACCCGGATGAGGATTGGTGGGGACAATCTGGGTCCCACCACATGTCGGTCCATCTATCGATAGTTGAGGTTTTTTTTCCTTCATATCGGTAGAAAATAATTTGGAATAAACTTCACAAGATTCGCTGATATTTAATAAAATTTACATTTGAAACCATAGTATTTTAAAATTAACATTCAGAGCAACTCCAAAAGGAGTCGCCTGTCATTCCCATAATTGCCAAAATGACACTTCAAATTCAAAAATTTGGATTCTAATGGGGGTGACAAAATGACATCAAGGATTTTGAAGTGACATATTTGACAATTTTGGAGAGAAAAAAGGAGAGATTACAAAATCACTGTTCAATCACAACGGCTCTATTCAACAAAAATTTTCTACAAATATAGAATTTTGAAAAAAAACCTTACTTGATTTTTGTTTTGATTTTTTTTTCAATCGTTAGAAGAAAGAGCAAAGACGCAAAGATGTTTTGGGAATCACATAAGGAAAGGGTAAGAGGTTGTGAATCTCGTGCCGTTGATGTTGCCAGAAAATCGCTTGTCGTTACCATTATAAGTAGGGTTGTTAATCAAACTGAGTTACTCGATCTTTGCTTGAGTTTGGCTTGCTCAGGCTCAACTTGTTTTTTAAACGAGCCCGAACTTGAACAATTTTTTAGGCTCGTTTAAAAAATAAGTCCTACAAGTTCGGCTCAAATTCGACAAGCTCGGCTCGTTTATATACAAATACTCGAGTTTGACTCGTTCAGGCTCGGCTCGTTTCTTAAACGAGCCGAACTTGAACAATGTTTAAAATTCGATTAAGAAACAAACTTATCAAATTCGAACTCGACTCGAGCTCGTTCGACTAACCACCCTAATTGTAAGTAGTTGTTGCCGTTGCCATTATAAGTTGTGGAGGGCACAAGAAAGGGAAAGGGAAACAGACGTTCTGCAAAGGGGAATCAGACGTTCTGGGAAGGAAAAGGAGTAGGAAGTGTTTTATTTAAAGGAAGAGGAAAGAGTTATAATTTATTATTATATCTGCCACCCCTGCTCTTATTATAATTTATAATTTATAATTTGTTTATAACTTATGGCAGATTTATTTGTTTTAATTAAGGGTAATTTTTTCTATTTTTTAATTGATTATTTTATGTTCATTCTTTAAATTGATTATAATTTTTTTTTGAAATTTGAAATTTTTACTATAGAAATATATCCGTTAAATTACAATCGTTATAAAAATTATACTCATTAAAATATAATCATTAAATTTAATTATATTTTTTAATAAAAAATATTAAAATAATATCTCATTTTGGTACTTGTCATTGAAGTAAATTAATAATTCAAAAATATTAAAATATTGTTTAAGATTATAAATATTTGATTTGACATCCAAAATAACAACTTGGCCTTGCTCTCAAACCTCAATTGTTGGGTTCTTTAACAGTTTTAATTAGAAAGACAATTTACACATAATGTATCTCATTATTTTAATATTTTTTAATAACTACGGCATCCAATAACTATAAATAAAACACCTCCTGATCATTAAACTAAAAAAAAATTGCAGTTTCAGTGTTACACTGTATGTATACTCTACTTTACGTCCACCCTCAATGCTATTTTGAAATATTAGCAATAACTACGTATCTGAAAACATTACATAATATCAAAAATTGAACTGATCATATAATATTTGTATTTTAAATAATAATTTAATTTTTAAATTATGTAATTTAAAATTAAAATAAAGAGAGAGACGTAAGTGTGAATTGATGAGATTGTTTGACATTAAAAAACAATAATGCTACAGTAATTAAATTTTGTGACCAAATTTGAAACTCAAATGACATGACAACTGACTATTTGGAGTTTTTATTAGAGTTCAAATGACATGACACCGATCAAAGAAACCCAAGTCAGTACCAGGTTATTTGGACTCTAAATTTGGTCACTGTAGCATTACTGATTAAAAAATGTATCGATTGAGTTGTGTGTAGAAAAATTTATGTTTTTTAGCAAAAAAAAAAAATTAAGATAAATTTTATACCATTAAATTAAAGTAGATCTTGACAAAAAAAAAAATCAAAGTAGACAAAGATTAAATCAATCTCGATAATTAATATATATTTTTTTAAGTTGAAAATTTAAATTCTTAACTGTAATATATTATAAGTGATTCCTCATATTAAAATTTTTATATATTATACGTGAGTTCTTTTTTTTTGTTTTTTGGGTCAACTAGTATACGTGAGTTCGAATAATATGTGATTGAGTCTATCACTCTCTCTCAATTTGACAGCTTCAGCTTATACGTAATTCAAGAAAGTTCAACAGAAAATAAAGAAAATGTCTGAGAGAAGACACAGTAGAGGTCTCAATGAGAAAGGAAAAAGCGTTGGTAAAGAAGAAGGAAAAGGAGAACAAGATGATTCAGAAAAAGCAACTATGAAAGATAGTAGTGACGACGAGGTCTTTGAGAAGAAGAATGGTGGTACAGACGAAGAAGGACTAAAGGCTTCTTCTTTTTCAAGAAGTGAAGAAGATGATGATCATTATAAACCCCATGATGGATCTCCACCATTAATACCAGTACTGAAGAAGAGAAGCAATGTTGGTTCTTCAAGTGACAAAGAACATTCTGAGCTTCGTAGTGATCAATCTGTTCTACCAATCAAGAAGCGATTGTCTCATCGTATAACACTCGAAGATGGTGATGAGACCTGCAGTACTAATGTTGTCCCACGAACAGTCAGTCGTGATGTGACCCCCTCCAATGAAGCAATTCCAGAAGCAAACCCAGGGTACGTATGTATAACTACTTGTTCTTCACCATGAAAGTTGTTGTTTGGGTTCTCTCTCTCTCTCTCTCTCTAAATATATATATATATATATATATATATACACACACACCATGTTGTTTAGTGGCTGTCTTGGTTTTGCCTCGAGAACCAGCCATACCACAACGTACATGCAATGCCTTAATATCAATGTCGATTTCTCTTCGGCACTTATCTTGGTTTTTCTTGTTGAAGCAAATATACACGAACCTAAATTCGAAATGCAACCTAATTGTGAGTTTTGCGTTGGATTAAATTCACTTTTAATTCAAAAACTTTATCCCATTAGATCTCCAAATTAGATAACTGGATAAAACTAGCAATTTCTTTTTTTTAGTTGTTGTCCCCCTAAGTTTTCTAAAATTATCTTTTAACTCTGTAATTTTTGTGTTATTTGTTGAAAATACTTAAGACTGCCCCCTCTAGTTTTGTACGTTCTCAATACGATCCTTACGTATTTTCCCAACTTTTTAGTCGACCCACTTGGGAAATTCTAGCTCCTCCTCTCTTGGTACGAATGGCTAATATTCCTAATGTATACATGGTTTTTTTTGGTTATTTGGTTCAATCTCTGCATGTTACAAATCTTATTAATTTATAACTTAATCACATAGACTCGGTTTTTGCTCTTTGGCTCAATATTTTCATTGTCAACATTGTGAATGCAGAAAGAAGACATGGCCATCTCTCCCCCCAGTACCTAAATTTTCAAGCCCAAACAGGTCGCCTATACCCCCAGTACCTAAATTTTCAAGTCCAAATAGGCCACTTATCCCCCCAGTACCTAATTTTTCAAGTCCAAACAGATCACTTATCCCCCCAGTACCTAAATTCTCAAGCCCCAGCAGGCCTTCTCTTCCCGCAGTACCTATATGTTCAAGTCGCAACAGAGATAAGCCTCACACTAGCTCAAGCAATACTAGCAAACCAGTATTCAAGCTTGCACCACTTTTTCTTTTTGAGAAGACATTGATTTCTAGTGATGTCCTTGGCCGTACCTCAAAGCTAGCCATTCCAAGCGAAAATGCAATCCATTTTCCAAAGCCAGACATTGAAGGAAAAACCTCTAAGCATGTGACGATACGAATCGTCGATGATCAAGAGGAGACACGTAAGATGAAATTCACATTCCATAAGAACAAAGGCTATAGGATTACACGAGGGTGGAAAGCTTTTGTTAATGAGAAACAACTTCAGGTTGGTGATGTGATTAGGTTCTATAGATCTTTTGGCTGGAAAAAACACACTACCTACTCCATCAAATGTGGCGGCGCACCAAAGGGTGATGATTCGAATGATGATCCTGTTCAGAGGTCTAGGGAGCCCGAAAACGATGTCGTTGAGGTTGGTAGAATTGCTGGAGGTATCTATCAACAAGGTCGCTCTTGGGGCAGTTACGGTCGGAGGAGACAAGGTAAACGTGTTCGTGTTGAACGTAAAAGGAAGAGCTCTCCGATACACGGGGAAAATGTTAATCTATCTGAATACCTCAGTGATGATTCTTATGAGTCTCCCGATGGTGACAGTGATCCCATAGATAGTGCTTATGAATACGCCGGTGATGAAGATGCTGTTGATGACAATGACGATAATAATAATGGTGGTGGTGGTGGTATTGGTGGTGAAGACTAGTACTACTATTTAGAGGAGTGATGATACTGACTAGTCTTGTGGTGGTGAAAGTGGTAGAAGTGAAAGGGACTGAGGCAAATCAAAGAAGACATAATGGCAAGGCACAAAGGCAGAAGGAACTGTCACCGGATAAATCCATGTTTCCGGAGTAAATTCATGATGTAGAGTTAGCTTTTGTACACACTAAACAAATTAGTTCTTAGTATTGTAAATTTCATATCTCACCGAAACTAGGGAGTGATACTTAGTATATTACTCACATGGATACATGTTGTTTGATGCTGAAGTGAACCCTTTTTTTGAGGGAAAAAGGCAATTGAGTTCGAAGAGAGTGTCTATTTCTTCTTCTTTTTACCCCTAACAAATGTAAATCTTGACGTATAGTAGAAAGTTTTAACATAAATTGGTTGTTTGCAGCTCTGATTAACCCAAGGGTGCAGTTGATGGTCCAGTGGCGTCTTAGTCGAATTTTTCACCCTGAAGTTGAAGTTTTGAATCTTAAAGTCTATATTAGAGTTCGATAATTGACCGTCATATTGGCTTAGTTAAATTTGTTCCTGAGAACTGGCACGATCAAGAGTTTTATGATTCTACTAGTAAGGGTCTATCAGAATTGTCTCTTGGTGCTCTTTTTTGGCTCTACCTTTTTTTTTTGGCTTAAAAAAAAGACCAAAAGGTGCCGACAAGAAAGTGGTTACTCTAATTTCCAATGCTTCAGCTGTAAATACAACTTAGACTCGACTCGATTTGACTCGAAGTCTTTCCATTTTTAATTTTATTTTGAAAAACATTCTCTGAAAATAATATGGAAGGCAGTAGAGTAGAACCATCTTTCTTTATATTTTCCCCATAACAATTCATTTTTTCACCAGTGTGGTTGTCTGGTTGACAGGGCTCCATCCTAAGGAAGTGACCACCTGATTAACAGAGGGTATGCCCTATTTTTCATTCCACACTAACCTGTGAATTTGATTAGTGTTTGTTTGGAAATCCATAACTACAATAATAAAGTGAAGAAGTGGATGTTATAATGTATAAAATGAATCTCACGTGTAAAGTTTATCAAACTTTTATATTAATTATATTGTACAATTAAAAGGACTTGAATTGTTTCAAGAGAATTTTCAATTAAATAAAATTATTTTAAGTGATATTAATGGGTTAAGTTTGTAGATTCCAATTGCACTAGAATCGCGAGTGACGTGGCTAGATGTAATTCTTAGATATCGACTTGAATAACATTTTGTTTTTTGTTTTTTTTTTTGTAAGACAATTCTGTCGAGTTCAATGATGATTATGATGACATGAGCAGGGATAGATAATATTCTTGATGAACAAGGGTTGATTAATCCTTAAAGAGTATAAGAAAGAATTAAATATGAGACCTTTGAATTACTAAAAATCATACTCAACTACTTAACTATTCTTAAATGTGTAAATAATAGTATTTTAGTATTATTGATCTAATTTATTGTTGTCATTAAATAGTTGTGATTTTAAGTATTAAATGGGATGCACAGTTAATCAAGTGGAGTAATAGTAATACTCCCTTCGTTCCTAAATATCTGTCGTTTTACATAATTTTTTTTTGTTTCATAATATCTGTCGTTTAATGAAACCAAAGCATAATTAATATTTTTTTTTTAAATTTACACTTAACTTTTCAATGCATTAGATTACGTGGAGGCTAAGTGCCTTTCATATTTCTTTTTTTCCCAATACATATTGAATAAGGGTATTTTAGTCTTGCGTAATTATTTTTTACTCATATTAGAGCTATTTAATAGCTTCCTTAATCCCTGTGTAAAAACCTTAAACGACTGATATTTAGGAACAGAGGAAATATATTAAGTCAATAAATTAGATTGAAATAATAAATATTATTATTATTATTATTTTGTTATAAGATTTTTAAATTTGCACCAACTACTCATTTGAATGCTAAGTTGATCACCGTAATTCAAATTAATTTAAACACATGTCCCTTAAAGAATAAGAGTGGTCGACCTTCCAAAAAAATGCGGGAAGTATTAAATCTAAAACTGTTTACCTATAAAAAGATAGACGTAACTAATGGACCACCAAAGGGTTAAGGGAGGGTTGAAAAAATAGATATTAGCAATGTTGTTAATTTATACATCTGTGCCTTTTTTTTTGGCTCAAAAAAAAGGGCTTTTTAGTAATAATTGAAAACAATTTTGACCGCAAGCGTCACAATATACATAACGCAATTGAAACGCATACGGCCGCCAAAAAAACAGAGTCCAAACGGTACCTGGATCACCACTGACCACGGTCCTGCGTTCATAATATAAACTTCTACGTCCTCTCTCTCTCTCTCTTTCAAGACTATCTACTTCACAGCTAACGATATTCAAGAAAGTTCAGAAGAAAATGTCAAGAAGAAGAGACCGTTCAGGTATCAACGATAAAGGAAAAGATCACAAGGAAGAAGAAAAAAATGACAAGAAAGGTGATTCAGGAAATGAAAATTCATCTGAAACTATCAAAGCTCGTAGTGACAAGGAGGTTCTTGGCAAGAAGATTTGTACTGGTGAAGAAGAACAAAAGGGTGCTTCTTTTTCGACAAGTGAAGGATACGCTGAACGTCCTGGTTTTTCATTGCCATTTAAGAAGCGATTCTCTGGTCATCTAAAATCACTTGAAGATGATAATGATGATGATGAGAACTGCAATGATGTTGTTCCAGAATCAGACCCACCCATGTACAATTTCTTCTTCTTCACCATGAAAGTTATTCTTGGGGCTTTTCCTTTCATTCAAGAACTATCTCTCTCTCTCTCTCTCTCTCTCTCTCTCCCCCCCCCCCCCACCTTTCACACACACAATTGGAATTTGTAAGTCAGTTATGTTTTTTTTTTTGGGTGTAAGTATACAGTTATTTTGTGTGGCTGGAGAGATTGGCTGTACTCCCTCCATCAATATACTTGATTTTTCTCATTGGCTCAAGCTTTGCCCTGTGCAATCTTGTTTGTAGCCACTCATCAGAAGTTGTTGCGGAGGATGGCAAAGAGTCAGTTCCAACATGGTCACGTAGAAAGAAGAGGACTGAGAGATATCTTGTAGCTTCTCCTACTAACTCAGACAAACCTAGCAATCGAGGTCTCAATGATAAAGGAAAAGGCGTTGGTAAAGAAGAAGAAAAAGGAGAACAAGATGATTCAGAAAAAGCAACTATGAAAGGTAGTAGTGACGAGGAGCTACTCTCTGATCATCTAAAATCAATTGAAGATGATAGTGATGATGATGATGAGAACTGCAATGATGTTGTTCCAGAATCAGACCAACCCAGGTACAATTTCTTGTTCTTCACCGTGAAGGTTATTCTTGGGGCTTTTCCTTTCATTCAAGAATTAACTCTCTCTCTCTCTCTCTCTCTCTCTCCCTCCCTCACACACATTGTCACACACACACATTGGAATTTGCAAGTCAGTTATGTGCTTATATGCTTGGTTTTTCTCATTGGCTCAAGCTTTGCCCTTTGCAATCTTGTTTGTAGCCACTCATCAGAAGTTGTTGCGGAGGATGGCAAAGAGTCAGTTCCAACATGGTCACGTAGAAAGAAGAGGACTGAGAGATATCTTGTAGCTTCTCCTACTAACTCAGACAAACCTAGCAATCGAGGTCTCAATGATAAAGGAAAAGGCGTTGGTAAAGAAGAAGAAAAAGGAGAACAAGATGATTCAGAAAAAGCAACTATGAAAGGTAGTAGTGACGAGGAGCTACTCTCTGATCATCTAAAATCAATTGAAGATGATAGTGATGATGATGATGAGAACTGCAATGATGTTGTTCCAGAATCAGACCAACCCAGGTACAATTTCTTGTTCTTCACCGTGAAGGTTATTCTTGGGGCTTTTCCTTTCATTCAAGAATTAACTCTCTCTCTCTCTCTCTCTCCCTCCCTCACACACATCGTCACACACACACACATTGGAATTTGCAAGTCAGTTATGTGCTTATATGCTTGGTTTTTCTCATTGGCTCAAGCTTTGCCCTTTGCAATCTTGTTTGTAGCCACTCATCAAATGTTGTTGCGGAGGATGTCAAAGAATCAGTTCCAACATGGTCACGTAGAAAGAAGAGGACTGAGAGATATGTCGTAGCTTCTCCTAATAACTCACCCAAACCTAGCAATCGAGGTCTCAATGATGTAGAAAAAGGAAAACAAGATGATTCAGAAAATGCAACTATGAAAGCTAGAAGTGACGAGGAGGTCTTTGAGAAGAAGAATGGTGGTCGTGGTACAGACGAAGAAGAACAAAAGGGTGCTTCTTTTTCGACAAGTAAGTATACTATGAACGTCCTGGTTTGTCATTGCCATTTAAGAAGCGATTATCTGATTATCTAAAATCAATTGAAGATGATTGTGATGATGATGATGAGAACTGCAATGATGTTGTTCCAGAATCAGACCAACCCAGGTACAATTCTTGTTCTTCATCATGAAAGTTATTCTTGGGGCTTTTCCTTTCATTCAAGAATTAACTCTCTCTCTCCCTTCCCTTACACACACATACACATTGTCACACACACATTGACACTGACACAGACACACACACACACACATTGACACTGACACAGACACACACACACACACATTGACACTGACACAGACACACACACACACACATTGACACTGACACAGACACACACACACACACATTGACACTGACACAGACACACACACACACACATTGGAATTTGCAAGTCAGTTATGGGTTTTTTTTTTGTGCAAGTGTACTGTTATTTTGTGTTGCTGGAGAGATTGGCTCTACTCCCACCATCGATATGCTTGGTTTTTCTCATTGGCTCAAGCTTTGCCATTTACAATCTTGTTTGTAGCCACTCATCAGATGTTGTTGCGGAGGATGACAAAGAATCAGTTTCAACATGGTCACATAGAAAGAAGAGGACTGAGAGATATGTTGTAGCTTCTCCTACTAACTCAGCCAAACCTAGCAAGGCAAAGGGATCAAGGTTTCTTTTTGGGAAGGCATTGACACTTAGTGATGTCAAAGGCCGTTCCCCCAAGCTAACCATTCCGAGAAAAGATGCAGTCCATTTTCCTGCTCTAGAGACTCGAGAAAAAAATTCTGATCAGGCGATTCTACAAACTGTTGATGATGAAAACGAGTCGTTGGAGATGGAATTATCAATCAGTAATGACCAGGACTACAGGATTACAAAAGGGTGGACAGATTTTGTTAAGAAGCACAATTTGCAGGTGAAAGATATGGTTAGATTCTACAGACCTGCCCGCTGCAAAAATAACAAGTTCCTCATCAAATGTGAAAGAGCAAAGCAGGATTTGAATGATAATATTCATAGTTATAATGAGCTCGAAAAAAAATAGAGATAAGGTTGGTAGAATTACCAGAAGTAGCTATATATGAACAAGGTGATGCTGGACAAAGTTTAGGTGGCAGAAGCAAGGGCAAAGTTAAGGGAATTGTTATAAGAGATGTGGAACCAGTGGCGTCCGCTAAGACTAATGGCACTTAAAAAAAACAGTTGCAGCTATAAGGGCAAAGGTAAAGGTCTTCTTGATGGAAATAAAAAAGAGTAAGAGCTCCCGGATAGTGTAAATTCATGATATAGAGTTAGCTTCTGTATATAGTAGATACACTAGTACTTTGGAGTACTGTGACATTCAAAATTGAATTAACAGATTAAGAGATACTTAGTATAGTCCTGGCATGTTATTTGAATTAGATTTGGTGTGATAATAGAGTATTGAGGCTCTGAGCTACCATTTTGGAGAATCCAGCCTGAACAACCATTCCTCTGGTTGTGAAATTTAGAAAGATCCAACGCCCAAGGAGACAGGTACTTGACTGAATTTTTGAAGTCAGTCTGTCCATCAGCATTGTAGTGTGGCATATTGAGCACAATGGTATCTCTAATAGATTTCCCTTGTGCATGTTTGGTTAGGTGCAATAACGTTGCAGGTTGCATTCCAAACAAAATTTCATGTTCTTATGTAGGGACTTCAATTTTCCAAATGTCTGTGCATAAAGATTGAGAAGGGCAATATGATAAGGAACTTTTCTGCTGCTTTTTTTCTGATTTTTTCTTTGTTTTGGTTTTGGATAATAAGGAAGACTGTATCAGGACGTGTAGTCCTATTCTACCTTTAACCATTCGCATCTAGAATCGCTTATCTCTCATCTTGAATCGGAAATTTTTCATTTCTCTTTACGTGGAGGAACCCTTCCGTTTTTTTTTTTTTTAGGAACTTTCTTTTGTTAATTCACTTTTTTCTTTAGCAATAAACTCTGTAAAAGCCAGCGAATAGGTCCAGGTAGGCCTTTCATAACTCTCGATAATCAAGTGTAACCACTTTTTACTGAATGCCCTCGATATTTATCAGAGGTCAGATCTATCCATGCTCTTTTCCTTCATGGGTCATGGATGAGAGGGATAAACTTGATTTGTCTTTCAACTTCTCCGGTGAAGGTTTGGTCCATCATAGAGTTTCATCTTTTCCTGATACTTAGTTTTTTTCTCCTGACTCCAAAACACAACTTAAGCACTGATCGCTAGCATAAGAATTGGACATGGTAAGGAAAAGAATGGTATAAGAAAAATGAGCCACCATAAGCCATAACCCAAAATTAGAACCAAGGAACACTGGTAAATTTGGAGCACTTGATCAGACAAATTAACTCACTGGCAACTCATAATCGTGTGGCATGCAATCATTGACTAGGAGTGGGAAGGATCCACCTTGAGAGATCATATAGCATAATGTTGCAGGCAAACAGAGCATGTATAGATATTGTATAAACACCAATTATGGAGTTTGATTATTTATTGGGCCTTGATGATCTGCTCCTCTGCTATGGTTAGGGGCCACCTAACCATGTCCTGCCATAAGCCATCACTAGTCACAAGGCCAAAGCTTCAGTCTTTTTGCCAAATGTAAGTATGACCATTTTAATCTTTGAAAAATCTAAGACTACACTTTTTATCCAACTCTCTTATAAAGCACAACCGTTATATAAAGAGAGATTTAACTCAGACGTATACAATCGTGCACTTTTAAGGTGAGAGACTTATATAAATAAGTTATCAACTCCGAGGATAAGTAAATTGTAATGATCCAAAAAATTTACCAACTATAAGTTAGAAATTGTAACCTAATTTTAAGATAAATTAGATGGTGTAACATTGAAGCAATGCCTTGCCACAGATGTGCGTGTCATCCTTAAGACAGAAAATCTGGCAAAATATTCTAGAATGGCAAATCACAAGTGGGCACAACTCTGGACATGGTTGTCCATCAAAGAAACATATTGTTTCACCGAGGGACATTTCACCTTTCCTAAAAGGCTGGAAACCAACTATTATTGAATCGTGTAGTACAATCGATTGGGTGGCATGCTGGCTCGGCATCTTAAGAGAGTAGAAGAGTCGAAGGTACAAAACACATCATCAAATAAGCCTGTCTATTGTGTCAGATGAAACGAATTTGTATTAGGTCTTAACGAATTCGTGTCAAAAAATACTTAATTCATATTCGATTCGTTTATTATCTCGTGTCTAACGAGTAGTATTATATCAGTTTTATATCATGAATAAATCGTGTATAACCAATATATAAACAAGCCGTGTCATTTTTTTTTTATTGACTTCACTCATACCCAATTCGTTTAGTAGTCGTGTCGTCTCGGATCCACTCGTTTATAAAACAGGTAGCTTAAAAAAGACTCAAATCCACTAATTTCGTGTCGTATCAATTATCCGTGTCCTACTTTAACACCTCTATTACCGATAACCATTAAAAATACATGCAGCAAAAACAAAAGCATCACCGCCTTATACCATAATGTGCAACACTATGATTGATTGCCCAATATGAACTCTGAGAGGCACTCATGAGGGCTTGACAATCAATGCCACACCCACCCCAAAAGCACCCAATGTCAAGAAGGGAGAGGAAAAAAAGAAGCAGCAAAAATGCTGCAGATGAGGACTACAAAGAACATATTTACTGATATTTAATTTTAAAAGCTGTTACATAATTTTGCTATACCAATGGAACATAAAGCCAACTAAAATCTATCTCCATTGTGCACCTTCTTCCCATGGCTACTCACACGGTGTAACCATCCAATCCCTTTGAGGGCCTTGGTAATCCTCACAAGATTAGGCCTTCCCATGCCTAAATTCATCTTCCCTGTTGAGAACTTCAGAGCCTGTAAACAACACAATTGCCCGTCAGTCTCTTCTTCCTCGTCATCATCCTCATAGTATTCGGTCTCTCGTTTCTTCTTCTTCTTCTTCTTGGTGTTGCTTTTCGGGTTGGCCTTACTCGAATCTGTTTCATATGTCTCCCATAGTGAATCCATCCCTTCATCACCATCCACGTTGTGTCGTTCTTCGAAAAGTTTGCAAGCCAATGTCCTCTTCCATTCCCTCTCCTTCCTCATGGATTCATAACTCCCAAGATTATAGCCCGATATTCGCGAACTCTCAACCTTTGAATTGTATTCTCCACCATTGACATTTGCACCATTTCTCTGGGAATGCCCTGTTTCCTTGAAAGTACACTCTCTCCCATCACCATTATCAGCACTCTTAACAGTAATATCGCTTATTTTACTACCAATTGCCTCGGATCCGCTTCTCAGTAATGACCCTTTTTTGTGTTCTTCAACAACTTTATTGGACTCTGTGCCCCATGGCTCAACTTTCTTCTCTTCCACACTGCATGACATTTTGTCAAACACATCTTTTAAAAACCCTTCGAATCCTTTTTCCTCCATGTCAGGCCAGACAGTTTCCACATGAACAATCTCAATTTGTTTTTCTTCTAAACTGCCTTGCAAATAATATTCTTCTTGCTTCACCCCCAAAGCTTCAACTTGGTTTTCTCTTAAATCTAACATAAACGTGTCAAACACAATGTTATATGCTTCAAGCTCTTCAATTGAATGAAAATGAGCTTCATTTTCATCGGCTACCTTGTACCTCAATCTTTCTAAAATACTATGATATGTAGCAATGAGAAAACTTACCTTGCTTTCGGATGATTCAGGGGAAGAATTGCCATGAAGGAGGGTGGGAGAGACAGTGAGGAGAGCGAGGAGGAGGAGGGAGGTGGTAACGAAGAGAGGAGACAGAAAAAAGAGGACTTTGAGAAGGTATGGGGAGAAGAAGATGAAGTATAAGAAGTAGAGAGGGTGAGACAGAATGAAGGAACAGAAAAGGACCAAGTCAGAGATGAGAAGACTAGAAAATTGAGGTTTGGGAGTGCTTGACAAGCACAGCTCAGACATTTCTTCTGCGTATAGACTTAGACTTCAGATTAGAGAGTGTTGGTGAGAGAATGGAATTGAAAAATATGCAAAATGGCGATGGAGTGGAGAAGGAGGAGAGAGAGTCTGGTCTTTGATTGTCGTAGCAATGGGAGAGAAGTGTGTGATTGTGGATGTGAATGCGGCGTGAATAAAGGGAAGAAGGAAGAGAGAGAGAGGCCAACTAACCATGGCAAGAAAGAGCATTTTCAATCACCCTCGTTCAAATTTATTATATCTTGAAAAACACCCTCTTTATTATTAAAAATATTATTGACACCATTTTTAATTTATATTTAAATATCACCATACCCCTTGCCCCTCCCCTTCTAGTTTATATTTAAACATCATTAACACCTTCGGCCATTAAACCATCATTTCTAACAAAAATAAATTATCTAAAATACTAAAAATGCCCCTAAACAAATTCAAAATAATTTTTTTATATAAAATTCGATTAAAATTTGAATCAATTAAAATTTATTTTTCTATATATTAAAATTTGAGCCTATTAAAATTCATTTTTCTACATATAAAAATTTGAACCGATTAAAATTTGATTTGAGCTAATTAAATTTTATTATTTTGACATGTCAAAATTTGAGCCTATTAAATTTTTTTTTACGTATTAAAATTCGAGTCGATTTGATCTCTACTTGAGTTGTTAGCACCGATTAAAATTCGCTTTTAGTCGATTGAAATTTATATTTTTACTTATTAAAATTTGTGTCAATTAAAATTTGATTCAAGTTGATTAAAATTTATTGTTTACGTATTAAAATTTGAGTCGATTAAAATTTATATATTTTTTATATATCAAAATTCATGTCAATTAAAATTCAATGTGAGGTGATTAAATTTTAATTTTTAATCAGCTCGAATAAAATTTTACTTAGCTCAAATTTAAATACCTAAAAAACATAATTTTTAATCGACTCGAATTTTAATACATAAAAAATAAATATTATTAGCTCAAATCAAATTTTAATCTGGATGAATTTTAATACGTAAAAAAATTTAAAAAATAAAAGGAGTCTCGTTGAAGATATACCTATCTAGAGGGGATATGAATGAAATTTTTCCTCAAACATTTAAGGGCAATTTAATAAAATTATATTATAATAAATACTTTTAATCTGACAAGAGGTGTCAGTGAAGATTCAAAAAAATAGTAGAGGTATCCTTGAAGATATAGTAAACTAGAAGGGGTATAGTTAAAATTTTTCTTTTTTTTTTTAATTTTTTCCTTGGTAGATCATCCTTTATTAATGAGTGAGAAATCCACTTGGATACAATGAGTTTTACTTAAATGTATTATATTTTTTTCTTAATTTTTTTAATAATATATTATCAAACATAAATTCAAATGAACCTACCATATATCAAAAAAAATCATAAATTCAAATGAACCAACCATATATAAAAAAAGTCCTGCATCAATTCACAAGAGATGATCTAATATTTAGAGAAATTCGAGGAAATTATAATGAAAGACATTCGATCAAGTGCTCCAAAACCGAAACCTGCTGGTGTTAAATATGATTTTCAACTAAATGAATCGTAAGTGTTATGTGCTATATACAAGTATATCTTCTTATTAAGGATAACTCGAGTCTGAAAGTACGGTATAATGTAAATAATTTTGAAAAGATTGTGATGGCTGTTGGATAAGTCTATTTGAGACCGTCAAACAAAAAGTTGTCTATTTTTATATTATAAATTATTGTTATAGATAATAAAAGAGAACATATCTATCCCAAATCCTAATGGAATAGAACTTTAATGCTACCTTAGAATCATTAATTGGCCATCTCAACTAAGATTTTTACTTGTCACGTGAAGGTAGAATCAAAATTATTTGTTTTATACTATGGATGATAAAGCTTTTTTAAGCATCCTATTCGTATCTTCCACCTTTTTCCAATAAATAATGGTGACTATCACCATAGTCAGCCATTTGGGAACATGGACAGAAAAGAAAAAAGGATGTTTGACATGTCCACACCATGAGTCTTGCAAGATAATCATACTACTAGTATAATACATAGTATATGGAAAAAATTTTTGTGTAATCTGCTCTCTAATGGGGCGGCTGTGCCTTATACGATTAGTGCATTATAATTCCTATAAAGAATCAAAATTATTAATCACCCAGGTACGTCTCTTTATTTAAAAAATGATAGATTGACTAGATTAATTAATTAATTAATTAAATCTGTATCGTAATAGAATTCTTTTTAGTCTTTCCATGCATGAGATTGTCTAACCTAAATAAAACTTGGTGAGAAACTGGTATATTATATTATCATAATAAGTGGGAGCATTTTGCAATTAGGATTTACAACAAAAGTCACCCAATAAGTCAAGGTGGGTGATCGAGGGGTTAGCACTTGAAAGGTTAGATGGTTTCACATGGGAAAAACCACTCATAGTCATATCTACTCAAGCATGTACCCGTTGGTCTTAACCTTTTCATCTAATGAGGGACCCATGTTTCTGTTGTTGTCGTTTTAATCTTTTTTGAGGGTATTTGTGAGAAATCACTAATCTCACTTTGCACCACCAAAGATTCTCAATTTGTACTCTCAAATATAAAAAAATTTTAATTTACACTCTTACTGTTATAAATTTGTAGAAATGTGAACCTAATCCGGACTAATGTTCAGTTTTTTCGTCATAAATTAAAGTGCATGAAATGTAAATACTTCAAGCATAAGGATGAGATATTTCTACTGCTGCAAATTTTTGTCTATAATCAATTTAATATTATTTTGTGTATCGAAAATAAAATTTTATTAATTAGATAAAATCTAACCCTATCATGTGCAACTCACACGAAACATTGACAGTATATAAATTTATACATAAACTCGTGCCTGAAACACTTGCAATTCACATGCTTCAATTTATGACGAAAAAATTGAATGATGATCTAGGCAAGGTCTATATTGCTACAAATTCATAAAATTGACTGTGTAAATTAAATTTTTTTATGTTTAATGATATAAATTAAAAATCGAAAGAGGGAAAATAAGATTCTCCCTTTTCTTTTTCATGTCAAGTTTGACCAGTAAAGCTAAAGCCTTACACCGCTTGGAAGATGAAGATTTGACATTGTCAGGTTGTGTTTATGGTGTAAAGGTGGATATACCACCTTCATTGCGACCTCTGGATGCAACTGAACTTGCGTGACCTAAGTACAAGATTATTGGACCATGATTATTGGATCGATAGTGAAAAGTGCCACAATAGAATTTGTTGTGTTAAATATAAGACTTCAAATATAATTGTCGAATCCAAATACGATACTGAAGTCTTACTATTTAACTGAAATCAAACTATGGCAAGACGCATGACTTAAAAAACTATAGCAAGACGCATGCCGACAATTTCTCAGAGACAATAGTGGATGAGTGCAATATGCATATCAACCGGGTCTGATCTAAAACTAGTTCTAAATTCACCGACCCCACAACCAAAACACGATGACTTATCCGCGAGTCTCGACTTCCTCCCTAATCATAGGCATCATATTGTCTAGACGTCGTATCTCCTCCGTTTTCATCATCCACATTGTCTCGATGGTCTGACATGTATTATAACATCAAGTTCTTGATATTTCCCTGCCTAAGCGAATGCTTAACATTCTGTTTTATTCATCACAAAAACTTCCTTTTGTCCATAACATAGACATAAAAAACTTGGCAACTTTATATTACAAGAGCTTCAGCCAGAAAAATATGCTCCACTTCAAATAGAGAGGGGGGTGGCATCTAATCCCAAAAACTCCAACCATCAAATACAACAATGTAAAAGTCATAAGCCATAAAATCATTCCAGTTTCCAGCACGGGTTTTCAACCCTTCAGATATAGGTAACTTGGTTATTGGACTAAATTTTAGAGAGCTTCATCACAAGCTCGTAACAGCACACATTTATAAGTAGTGTTCTATTTAAACAAGTGTCATGAAGTTTCAAACTCAAAGTTCAGGTCTTAGCACAACAGACCAAATTCACTTCTAAACATTTGCTTACCGACACCCATACTTGCATTAAAAAGATCCTACCCCATGTGAGCGCCCACACCACGTAGCCATTATTCTGTCATAACAGGCTTATTCTCATTTGCCTTTGGCCTCTGTTCCTTTGGCCTCTGCTCTTCAGTTTTCCTGGATTTCCCAACAATAAGTAACATTAATTAGAGAATCAAGCTTTTATTATGAGAATGTAATGTTCAGAAGTGTGCAATAATTCAAGTCCTGTTCAGTAAAATGCAAAGGCATACAATTCATATTAATACATAAACTCTGCTATTCTGTCTTATAGGCTGGCAGGAAGTTTCGATGGAAGCAAATGACTCTTTTTTAAGTACCTTGCCACTTGGCACAAGAAGATATTATTGCAAATCATAACAATGATAGATGGAAATATATAATACACTAAAGAGTTCTAATCAATCAAATATTCGAGCACTAAAAATCTCAATCTAAACAAGGAAATTTATGCCTGAGTAGGAAGTGAAGCAAGTTTTGACATATAAAACGAGGTCATAATTTCAAATTTCATCTAATAAAACATAGCAACTTTGACCT